GAGAGCATGCTATGTGGAGGAGGATAAAGATGTTCCAGCCAACAGCCAGTATCAACGTTCCAGACCTCTGGTGTGAGGCAATCTTGGACCTTCTAATCCCAGTCAAACTACTCGAGTTGATGCCATAAGCCTCACACATGAGCCTTCCCCAAGTTTCTGACCCAGAAAATTGAGAGCAATAAAAATGTTGCTGCTGGGCCGGGGATTTAGCTCAGTGGCACTGTGCCTGCCTTGCAGGCGCAAGGTCCTGAGTTCGATCCCCAGTATCAAAAAAAAATGTTGCTGCTTCAAATCACTATGTTTAGAAATGATTTGCTATGTTCTAGAAAACTAGAACATAGCATCTTGGCATCAGGCATCTTATGATTTTCTGTCTCTCTATGAGATGGTTCCAATGGCTAGACGCCTGGGTTTCCACACCCTCCTTTCAGAACTATTTTCTATTTATTCCTAGTTCTCTTTTCATTGCTCTTCCAAGGCATAAAGTTACTACCTTATATAAAATGTTCTTCACAATATGAGAGAATAATATTCTAGTCACTGTGGGGTCATATATTTAAACTCCATATTAGGACTTGTTTCAAGCCAGAGGGCAGATGCTATCAGATGAAAAGGTGCAGCTGGAAGCCATTTCTTCAAGTGAGGCTTCAGGATTTTGTCCAAATTCTAACACTAAAAATTACTCAGATAAGTAGTTACTTCTAGACATTTGTGTGTTTCTAGAAAATTACAGCCAAACCTAAAGGAATGCTATTAAATGTAAACTAAGACCTTAATGTTGTGGATTTTGAAGAATAAGTCTCCAATAATATTTTCTAAGGACATAATTATGCCCTGGACTTGATGGCTACAGTTAAGTTCTGCCGTCAGGGAGTTTATCCAGAGTGTTGTCTCCAGAAAGCTGAGGGCCATAGCATGGCCAAGGATGCTTAGGATTCTTGTGTGACAAACACCAGAGACTTCCAATAGAGACTGAGGCAGCATCTCCTCATTTTGTACTAGGCTATGCCTGAAGGTACATTTAAAAAGGAGTCAAGCTGCCTACTCTAAGTTGTTTTTACTCAAAAGACAAACCTGATGGATATTAAGAATTTTCTCCCTACAATAACACACATGTACAGGTCTTGCATATAACGGTGGCCTACCATAAACCCCATATTAAAAAGTCTTGCCTTGGTGGTACACTAACTCTCTGAGACAAACTTTATTCCTGGAATGTTTTCACTCTCACTCCTTCACTGGCTTCCACAGAACCATAAATCCTGCTGTGATTCATCCTTACCTCTGGGATCTAATGAAGAAGAATACATAATGAAGCACTGTACTACTATTTTATATGTACAACACCAAATCAACATCAAAGAGTAATATAATTTATAATCCACCAAACTAGGTAAGCATTTTCATCAGCCACTTGTTCATATATTTATAGGCCCTGCCATGAATTTTATATTTCTGTTTCTATATGTTGTGTCCAAGACAGGATGGCTACTTGTTTATACAACTTTCAATAACATTACTAGGAGCAACTGGCAAGCTATTTTTATGGGTCCAAGGACACTCAAAACAGTTATAGTTCAAAAACCCTTAGATGCTGTTTACCATAAACTTGGATACATACTTTAAGGGCATTAAACGATCAAAATCCTTGTTCTTTACAGAGTTTGGTCTCAACATTTTAAATGATTTTAGTTAAGATATGATTAAATTATAAAAAGTATTATTTGGGAGAAAGGGTATATTTGATATCTGAAGACAATCTTCAGCTCTATTTCCAAAGAATTTTGTTGAGGCTGCTGAAACAAAGTGGCTTGCAGTTATTGAAGCGTATTATAATCCAGAACTTTGACTAAGTCCTTTACGGAAATCAAATCATTCTCACAAAAACCAATTGAAGGAATGTGGCAGACGGGTGAATTAATTTTTAAATTTGCTTCCTTTTCTTGTGAGCATACAATTAGTTTGCTTTTCCTAGCCTTCACTCCACTTACACTGGGGAAAAAAAATAAAGCAAGTATCCTTTAGGAATAGTCCATAAAAATTTTACCACTCTTATTGATTGTGGAGAATCTTCAGAAGCAGAGCTATAAAATGGGAAGAATTTGGGTTGCTGAACTACTACAGAGGATGTCATCTGAGAATACCTGCATGGAACTGTAATGTGGGCAAAAGATAAGACTTCTACTGTCCTGAGTCCCTAATACTCTGGGGTTGTTGCTGGTATGGTTCTATGCTATGAACCATCTAGTGGCTTCCATTTCACTCAATATGAAGGTAAGTCAGGCTCTGCTGAACATACTCTCATGAGTACTGAGAAGTTAAATAATTGAGATGCTCAAGATCACAGGGCTAATAAGAACTAGTGGATTTAAACCCAAGGGACTTGCCCTTAGAAACCAGGTTATTAATTACTAGTATATATAGTCTGTTCCCTTTCCATAAGTTCATTTTCTCATATATAGCATAAACTACCCTTCTACTTGATTTCCTATATTTGAAGGAGATGGATAGATTGGGCCCCAAAGTTAAGGACAGAAAGAAGGCATTTTTTTCCCAATAAATTATTAGTTTTCTGAATCTCTTATGAGCCCTATAAGAGGAAGACTATGTTGCTTAAACAGCTTTTCAGGAGACGCTGGTATCTTGTAAATGTTTATATTCACAGGTTCTCTAATACTTACAGAATACTCCATAACAAATTATTCCCAAAACCTACTAGCTTAAAACAATAAATTATCTCTCCCCTTTCCTGTGGGTCAGGAATTTAGAAGGAGGTTAACAGGATAGTTATGGTTCAAGTTCCTTTTATGAGGCTGCCTTCAAAACACTGGCTGGCCCAGTCAAGACTGAGGCATCTCTTGAGAGTTGACAGGCTTACACGGCTGGAAACCTGGTCTGGCTGTTGGCAGGAAGCTTTAGGTCCTCCCCGAGGGTCTATCATGACTGCCCCCACAATACAGAGGCTTACTTCCCCAGAACAAACACGCATAGAAACTAAGACAAAGGTGCAAGCCCTCTCATGACTAATCTTAGAAATCACGCATCATTAGTTTTGCAATGTTCTGTTGATCACACAGGTCAGCCCTATTCAGAGTTGGGGGGGACTATACAGGGACATAAATACTAGAAGACAAGGTCACTGGCAGCCATTCTGAAGGCTGTCATACTCACCCAACACCTGTGTCCTGAGAGGCTACCCAGGAACTGAGAACCACACAACAAACAAAACAAGTGCTCGCCTTCGTGAAGCATAAATGCTTGTGGAGAAGAGAGAGGAACTGGACCTAAATAAGTTATATAATATGTTAGAAAGTGATAAGTGCAACAGAAAGAGAAAAGCAAAGCAAAGAGGAAAGGGAATGCTGGAGGCCAGGACTGTCTGTCATTTTACACAGAGAATTCTCAGTAACCCTCACTCAGACACTTCAAGGAATCCAGGAAATGAGACACATGGTTTCATGGAGGAAGAGTGTTCCGGGTGAAGGGATCAGCAAATGCAGAGGCTCTGAGGCAGGAGTGTGCCTGCCATGTCCGAGGGGCAGCAAGCAGTCAGAGTGGCTACAGGGAAGATACAGGAGATCAGATGAGATTAATAACAGTGGGAGGCCAGAGGCCAGCTAGGACCTTTTAGGCTCCTCTACAGACTAACCTTCACACTAAATACAGTGGAAAGCCATTGATGTGATCTGATTTAACATATTAAAAATCTCATTTCAATGGCTATCAGAACAGCCAGGCTGAGATGGAAGCAAATTAGGAGGCTCCTATAAAAACGTAGACAAGAAGTGATGGTGGCTTGTATTACCAGTGTAGCTAATGCACATTCATACCTTGGTACTCAGCTGCTTTGAAACTCGTCTAATTTGGTACTGGATGAATTTTGAGGCAAAAATTTTGTCCCAGCACTCCTTCTTTGTTTGGAACTTCATATGCAAGTTAGAATTTGTCAGTGTCAGTTGCCTTGTGACTCACTTCCCTTTTCAGCCCAAACAATTTGATTGACACTCATCCTTTTTGGTATTTGGGCCTCTGGGAACCGAAAAACGATGAGTACCTAGGTACCACTGGAGTCAGGTTCTAGACTTATCCTCCATGATTAACTCACCATTCTAGGCAAAATTTTCCTTTAGGAAAAGGAGTATTTTTTAGGAGATTTCAGAGACATGGCTGCCAAATGATAGCCTAAGGAGCCCTGCATAAGCCTAGAGAAGGAAGCTTCATAGGAATTTGCTGTTAGGAACCCCGAGGTGGAACAGATGAAGGAAGCTTCATGTCCCTAACTCTCAGTTTAGAATTGAGTTAACATAGTTCATAATGTAGAACAGGGCTGGGGATTTAGCTCAGTGGTTCTGCCGCTTGCCTTGCAAGCATAAGGTCCCGAGTTCAATCCCCGGTACAAAAAAAAAAAAAAAAAAAAATTCAGTTTCATAATGTAGGGCAGGAGAAATCTTAAGAAAAACCAGAAACCTCAATACCCTGAAAGAAAAGACTACATCCATGCACATACACAGATACACACAAAATGTACAAAAAACATATCACTTATTAAGTCTAAAGACAAACTGTATGGAAAACTGCTTGTAACACAAATAAAAAAAGGTTAATAGTCTCAATATTAAAAGCCTCATAAATTCCTAGGAAGACAACCAAGTAAAAATGGGCAAAAGATGTTTTAAAAACGAGGCTCATAATAGTACCTCCTTCACTAGATTATCATGAGAATACAATGACAACATACGTAAAGCATTTAGCACTATTCCTGGCACAAAATAAAGGCTCACAACCATAACTACCATGGCTGTCACCATAACTGCCACTGTTGTCACCTCTACTAGCACTCTTCTGATTATCAACACCACTATATTACCACAGTCAGCAACTTCATCGTCATCATAGTGCGAGAACCATTACCAATGCAAACTGTGTCAACCTGAAGGCCAATTCTGACGTAGCTTTCCTCAGAGTAAACTGTTCCCTACCAGGGACTAGTTATATATTACCTTTTCATGGTTCTCTATTAGGATCTCAATGACAATGTTCTGAAATTTGATATCCATGATGGCTGCTACTGTTTCTTCCTGAGGCCGCAGCAAGGTGGGTCCAAACACCACGCCAAGGTTTGCCACGGTCATCAAATTCTGCTTGTGGTTGTTAGCAACACTGGGAAAAAGGAAGAAAAAAAGGCAAAAATGAGACAGTACATTAGGGACAGCCGGCCTCCTTATGCCCTTCCTACCTTACTATCTTCATATCTGTAGATTTCTTCTCTGTAGGAGCCAGAACATGGGGCGTGTTTAGACAGTATGAATTAAGAGAGACTTTACCTGTATTTCACCTCCCAAAGTTTACAAAGTCTCATTCAGCATCCAGGCTATTTTGCTATTTCAGGATCTGATACGCCTTATGATTTCCAGTTGGAAACAACCAAACAATTGGCCAAAATGACTACCTGCCAAATTATGAATCTCTGCACATCTGAATTGCTCTCTTCTGCGAGTCCGAGTAACTGCTAATCTTTCTTAGTTACAACTTAAGTTCTTGGCTATTCCTTAAACCACTGTGATCATTAGCATTTTTTCTAGTGCAAATATAAAAAACTCTTGACTGCTTTAATTCATTTACAAACATAGTAAAAAATAGACCTAATTTTTAAAATGGGCAGATCTGGTATTTAAAACCAAGTCAGGAAATTCAGTACTTTAGACTCAAAATATTAAAGTCCCATTAGATTAAACATGTGGCTCACATTAAGAGAAAATGTGGCATAAACAGAAATAAAAAAGCACTATTGTATACCCGTGTATGTGGCTGTGTTTATACTGTCATTTATTCTCAAAATTCAAGAAAACACAGTATGTGGGTCTGAGTAATTTACTAAATACATACACATATTTTTAAATAAACAATTACTCAAACCATATATGTGAACTCTGTGATACAGGCCACACTATGATCTAGTTTTAAACCCCAATTGTTCATCTGCTGGCATGGTATCTAAAAATACACAAGTGAATAGCTGACAAGAAATTAGTTAAAAGTTCATGCCATTTATTATTGCTCAGAAAATATCAGGAGCATCCCTAAATCCCCTGTTAGACGAAGGAAGCTATTCATTATTAACTTGAATTTAGGGAGAAACTGGGCAGAGATGGGCAGTTTGCACAGACCTAACTCCCTACCATTTAGTGCTATTTATACTGAGCACTTTTTCCTCACAATTTTATAAATGCCTGCACTGTTTTCTCTTGTACACCTCTATTTTGTAGGAAGGAGGAAAAGAGATTATATACCTTGAGTGCCAATTTCTAAACTGAGCCTTTATTGAAATACTACATCAGCCAATTTTATCAGCATATGTGTGCTTTTCTATAATTTTTCAGGCTAAAAGAGTAATTTAACTTCCCTCTCTGAAAGGGGCAGGGTGCGGTTGTGTCTATGGAATTTTAATGATGGCTCAGCCCAGTCAGGAAGAGAATTTGCTTTTTGGCTGCTAAGCAACACCTGCAGCAGTTGCCACAGGTATCCTGTTTCTGGTCCACATTAAGATATTTTATCAACATTTTTTCAGTTCTAGCTGAGTCTTCCAGGTTTATTACAGCTTCATATTCTTCCCAGAACTACATTGCATTGCCATTACTCTGAAAGAGTAATGCAGATGGTCAAGTTCATACCTGGCAAGGAGGAGAGGGTTTGGTCCTGTGCCTCAGTCAATCATCAAGTATGCACATTTACAAGCTGCTTATAACATCATTACTTTCCACCACAGGTCCTATGTGTGGGAAGGAAATTCTCTGTCCTCCTACTTCCCTCCCAAATGAGTTAGGTCATTAGACTTACCCCTCCTTTCACAAAAGTCCCTTGTGCAAGTGAATCAACAAGCTATTTCTGTGTGAAAGCACTGTTCAATTGTAGGCCAATATAAAAATATATGGTTTGGATGATGATCACCATCCTGCTTTTCCACACTACATCTGACTAAAAAGAAAAAAAAAAAAAGCCTAAGAACTCAGCTGTTGATTCTAGAACCTCTAGGTTCAGTGTCATCCTGCCTGCCACCACAAGTTACGGTCTGAAATCCAGGTCTGACCATGACACTCTCCTGCTGGAAACAACAGTCTCATATATCTCCTGGTTGTTATCAGCAAATACAATGACAGAGCATATGTGAAGTGTTTAGCAATGATGCTGTTGTTTAATGGTCCTGATAATTATAACAATAAACCATTGATGCCCCATCCTTTATTTCTGAGATGGTAAGGATCAAACCCAGAGTCTCACACATTAGGCAAGCTCTATACCACTGAGATACACCCAAAGTTGAAATTCATAAAAAGCACACATTTCCCCAACTCATCTCTAAGCCTTCCTCTGCTACCTCCCAGCTCTGGATCCCTGGGGAAGTGACTCATTATGCTAAAACCCTAAGCTTTGGGTTCCTCCTCTTTATAAAAGGGGAGGCTGGGGTGAATGATACACAGATTTCATGATGTTTATATACAGAATAAATGTGACAGTGCACAGGAAATGCAATGATGAGTAATTCACTCTCTGTTCTATTTCCACTTTTACACCCCTCTGCCTTTGTTCATGTTATTTCCTCTCTACAATATTCTAACTCTTCTTTGCTTGGAAAATTGTTAATCTTCCAGGCTCAGCTCAAAGGCATCCCCTTTCCTTAATGCTTTTCTCCCATGTTTCTCTGAAGTCCTCCACCACTGATGCAGGCAGACATGCTGGCCTGCTCCTGCATTTATTCCACTGTGTTGATGTCTCTACCATTGCCTGAGGACAGGGACTGTGGTTTTTTATTTGGCTAAACCAGTGCCAAGCACAGTACTTGGCACAAATGAATTTCAGTGAGGCATTAACGGATGAGTGGAGCTTCTTAGTAGACATTGAACTATTAGTCTCACCCCAACTACTTAATCACAAACCTCAAATTATTATTGATGATTTTGGGGGAATGCATTTGAACTATCCCAAATCCTCTTTTCAAAGTCTCAAGCTGTGTTCCACTTAAGATTTAATTAATGAGTAATAATTACTCTGATATGCAGGGCCCAATGCCCAAAGGCATTTGGAAAAAAGGTACAGTAATTCTGGATCAGCAACTCTGAATATAAATAGGCTAGAGGCTATTCAACAGAATTCATTTCCCTATTAACGATCCATTTTATTTTGGAACTTAAAAATACATTGATCTAAGTTTTAGGAAAAACTTTTAGGGGGAAAAACCTTCATCTTTTCATCACTAACTATCATTATTGTTTGGCACAGTGAAGTAATAAATTGATCTGTCACTTAATACATCTCACAACTTGGTATAGCTATGTTCATTACTCTGAATGAATTATTAATGACTTGAGATTTCTACGTGTCCCAGAGAGAAAGGGCTAGACTGCAGCCTCTGTTGGCATCAGCCATGCATTACAGCTTGATGGATTTACAGATGTGTGGGAAGCAGGCTGGCAGAGTGCTGGGAAGCTGGTCCAGCAGAGGCTACAGGACTCATTCATTAGCAAGGTCCATAAAACACCAAGCACCTGCTTTCTGTTCTGGTAATTGAACTGCCTAAGCTCTTCTTCACATAATTCAGAATGTCATGTTGAGTCTTGATTTAAAATCCACACACAGACATTCTTGTGCATTGCACACTGCACTGAAGGGGCCTTCAATACCTGCCTGTTAAATCTCTGTGTCCACATGGACCACTCTGCTGTGGTCCAAGTACTGCCAATCTGCAAGCTTCCCTCACAGACTGCAGGCAAACAGGCCCACACGTGATTTTTCACTTGGGGGAGGCATGGATCCTGTTGTGATTTTGAAGTTTTCAGCTGAGAAGCAATGCATCCCGAGGTGTGCATTTTCAGGGATGATATCGGGGGATTCCTTGCAATTTCCTCACAAACTGCAGTTGAGGTAAGAATGTGTTCCAAAGAAAAAGGCCTTGGCAGAGCTACTTATTGTCACTTGTTTCAAAGGAAAAGGGATGGACATTCTAGATTGGTCTGACACCCATAGTGATAGTTAACTGCTATGCCAACTTGAGTAAGAAATGCCCAGATGATTGGCTAGGCATAGTTCTGAATGTGTGACTAAGTGATGGACTGACTGAAGGAAGACCCACCCTGTGTGGCACCAACCAATAGGCTGGTAGCTTGAATGAAAGAAGAAGGAAAAGAAGAAGGAAGTCTCACTTCTGATTCTTTGGAGAAGCCCCAGTCTGCACCTGGAGGAGCCCCAGTCTGCACCATCACTTTGGACATTTGTCTCCTGGCTTCCAGGGCAGGCTCTTTAGCACTCCTACACAGACGTTTCAGCCTCCCAGTGCAGACCCTTCAGCCTCCAGATACAGATTCGCATGCAATTCTACAGTGAGTTCCAGGCCTTTGACTTTTGATTGGATCCTCCAGGTCTGTAGTACCTAGACAGACCTTTTGCACTCTTCCACATCTGACTGTGCAAGTGGCCATTGTAAGCCTACCTCACATTGTAAATCCATATATCTCTAGATCTAGATCTAGATATTTCTTTAATAAACATTGGCTGATGCACCTTTTGAAAGGCAGAAGGTTAATTACTTCCAGATGAAGATGGTGAAGGTGATGGGGGAATATTATGAGGGAGCAGACAGTAGCCAACACTTGGGGGGCCTGTAAAGAAAATTCATGCTGTCATAGAGATCTCACCTATTTTCCTCAAGTTTATATGAAAGCCAGAGCTCTGTAAATGCTAAGCAACAATTTATAACCACAGACTGGTCCTGAATATGAATATTAAGCAATATTTTATAACCCCAGACTACTCCAATAATACATAGCTTTTGCAGGGTTCTCAAAATGATTTTTTACCTTAAGGCCTAGGGTGCTACGTTGAGGAATGTCAAAGCTGAGTCCCAGTTCCACTGGGCACAATGTGGTGACAGGTTAGCAATGGATCAGATGGGAGGAGTAACAGCATGTCACAACTTTTTTACCATCCCTTATTTGTGTCAGCTTCCAATGTTAAGAAATAATAATTTAGACTTGCAGTGTGTTTTAGACTTTAATAATTCTGCAATAACTTTTTATGTTTAATTGACCATCTTAACTCTAGAACAGTAGCTCTCAAGCTTTTTGACAATGATCCAAAATATGAAATATATTTTCCCATAGAATATT